ATTCACAGCGCCAAATCTCAAAAACAGCCACTTACAGCTCATTCTAGCTTGTACACCTGGATCAGAATATCTGAGATAATCTAGGATTTCGGCAGACGCTAAAAAGTTTTGGTTTCATTGCTAGGGAATGGTTTTGCACCACCTTGAAGTTAGGATGAAATGAGGTCCCCCCTCCCCCCCCGCTTCCTTCTTCCTTCACTCCCTTCCTTCCAGTTTTTGCTATTTCTGTTCTTCAAGCTGGATAACTTCCAAAGCAGAGGACAAACTATTTGTTGGATACAAAAAAACCCCAGGGTTTCTGGCATCCTATGAAGCTGTAATTAGAATAGAATAGAGCTGGAAGGGACCTTGGAGGTCTTCTAGTCCAGCCCCCTGCTCAAGCAGGAGAACCTATTCTATTCTATTCTATTCTATTCTATTCTATTCTATTCTATTCTATTCTATTCTATTCTATTCTATTCTATTCCTACTCTTTCCATATTCTATTTCTACTCTTTCCATATTCTATTCTATTCTATTCTATTCTATTCTATTTCTACTCTTTCCATATTCTATTCTATTCTATTCCTATTCTATTCTATTCTATTCCATTCCATCTCCTATTCTATTCTATTCTATTCTATTCTATTCTATTCTATTCTATTCTATTCTATTCTATTCTATTCCTACTCTTTCCATATTCTATTCTATTCTATTCTATTCTATTCTATTCCATTCCATTCCATTCCATTCCATCTCCTATTCTATTCTATTCTATTCTATTCTATTCTATTCTATTCTATTCTATTCTATTTTGCTTCTGTTCTGTTCTGTTCTGTTCTATTCTATTCTACTCTATACATATTCATATTCATATACATACATATATAAAAGATATATGGACAATACAATATAGGAGATAATGTATTAAATTAAGATAAAACTTATAAAATCACCATAATACGGAGCCATAGAACTGCACTGGGACAGATGATTTGTTTAACTGTGTATCTCATGGAAAGAAATTTTAAAGCAGAGGGGATGTGACACAAGGGCCGAAAACTAGCATGAATAAGATAAAAAGCACAAAGAATGCAGGTATCCCAGGAATCAGGTAAATGATGCACGATGACAAGGAAACTCTCAAACACAACCACGAAAACTGGGAAGACTTCCAAGCTTAAAAGCCCCACAGCCACAACCTGCTCCGTGAATCGTGTTTTGCAGCCCATCACTGCCACTTAACGTGGATTGTCTCCATCCGTCTTTAGCTATAAAGACAGCAGACGGGCTCCTCCCGTCAGCATCCTGAGGCCCGCAGCATTTGGAGAGCCATCACTGCTGCTAGCAAGACGGAGGACTGGCTTAAGTTAGGACCACAAAGGCAATAAACGTGATTTAGTTCTCCTAGTGGGTTGTCACGGCAGACAAGGAGTCAACCTTTCAACTTGTCTTGCTGGAGGATGGCTTACCCACCCTTATTGGATGGTTTTAGTACATTACAGGGGTGCTAGGACCCTGCTTTATGTCTCTGCCAAAGACAATCAGGGTGGTGGTGACATTATTCCTGGTAGAACTCCAGATTTACGTCATTAGGTGTAAAATACAAGGATCAGAGGTCTGGGGTTTTTTCCAGGATCCTTCTTGCAGTTGTGAAGCAGCCTCCAAATTCCTTAATTCCTTCCTTCCTTCCTTCCTTCCTTCCTTCCTTCCTTCCTTCCTTCCTTCCTTCCTCTCACTCACATCTTTTTGCTTGCTTCCTTCCTCCCTCCCTCCCTCTTCCCTTCCTCTCTCCCTCACTTCTTCCCTCTCTCCCTTCCTTCCCTTTCCTTTCTCCCTTACTCTTCCTTCTTACTTCCTTCCTCCCTCCCTCTCTCCTTCCCTTTCTCTTCCTTCCTTCCTTCCTTCCTCCCTCTCACCCACATCTCTTTGCTTCCTTCCTCCCTCCCCTCCGTTCCCTTCCTCTCTCTCTCACTTCTTCCCTCTCTACTTTTTCTTTCTTCTTTCCTTCCCTTTCCTTTCTCCCTTACTCTTCCTTCATCCCTCCCTCCCTTCCTTTCTCTCTCCCTCTGTTCCTCCCTCCCTCCCTCCTTTTAAATCAGTTTTGGCTCTCAGCAACTACCTGCCAAGCTCCTGCACTTTTCTTAGCAAGATCTGCCATCCCACCTCCTTCTTGGGACTACGGGAATGACTAGGAGTCACCCACCTGTCTTTCTGCCTCAGGTGGGACTAGAACTCAGCAGCAAATGGGTCAATTTTCAGAGGCAGAAGGATGCGGCTGTTTGCTATTTTAAATGAAAGCAAGGATAGAAATGGAAACTTTTACAGATCTGACCTCAAAATGCTTCAGCAATTTATAACCTATTAATGCAAGAATTCTAAATAAAGAAACAAGAATTAAACAAGAAGACCACACTGAGCCTATGTTCCCTCAAGAGAATCAAGAACATTTGCATAACTGCAAATAACTGAAATCTATTTTACTGGCACATATATTTTTCTTTCTTTTCTTTTCTTTCTTTCTTTCTTTCTTTCTTCCTTCCTTTCTTTCTCCTTCCTTCCTTTCCTCCCTCCCTTCTTCCCTCTTTCTTTCTTTTCCTCCTTCCCTCCCTTCCTTTCTTCTTCCTTGCTTCTCTTTCTCCCTCCTTCGCTTCCCTTCCTTTCCCTTTCCCACTCCTATCCATCCATTAAAATATTTATTCTATTATTATTTACAATTGGTAGTATCGATTATAAGCTGGAGAATTATCCCCAAAGACAGAAGATAAATAATTGATATAAATGCATAAATAACAAGAAAGAAAATAAGCTAGACAAACACCCAGTGCATTTAGACCAGTCTTCCATCAGGAACGAAATGTGTCTTCTATTTGTACGACCTTGTGTGTGTTGTTATGTTATTGGATCTACTATTGATTAAATTTAAGCGTTACAAGCTGCCAAATGTCAGTGGAAGCCAGTAAGATGTAACATTTTCAAATCTGTACGGACCACTGTTCTAGGCTCAAAAACGAGATGCATTCACACAACATTCATCCCAGTTATTCAATCCACTTATTTTTTCTAGATTTGTACAATTCGGTAAAGCAGAAACCAAGGAAACATGTTGCCCCATACAACGAAAGCCAAATCTTGTATCAAGTTGAACACTAAATAAACGAGTAGGTCCTACGAATCCAACAATTTGGATTTTGAGTTGGAGGAATGTATTTATTCTGACACAACAAGGGTTGCACTCAGCCCCAAATCCCTACACGATTAAACTTGAGATCCTTCAGAACGACTTCAACCGTGGACAAATTCACATGTATGGTGGGTGAAAGCATGTTTCCTTCTTGATGCCCTAGCTGTCATCTTTACCTTTCATTGTGCTCAATCTATTATTGGGAAAAGTGCTCCCAAATTGCTGGATCTCCAGATACGTTTTTCTTCTCAAAGATGTACATTTATGCCTTTTCACTCAAAAGTCCTGGCTTAAGGAAGACTAGATGATAGGGGGAAGGGAGCTATCTGGACCACAGTTTCTCAACCTGGCCAGCTTTAAGATAGGTGGACTTTGGTTGGAATATCTTTCTCTTTCCATTTTTGAGCGAAGGCTATTCGTGCCAACCGAAGAGGAAATACTACTGAAAATTTTCAGTTGCGCAGAAATGGATAGACTTACATTGGAACTCAAGGATAAAAGCGACACTAAGTACTACAAAATCTGGGAACAATTTTATGATTGGATAGATAACAAGAGGGTAGCCAAGACAAATGTATAGTGTTAGAATAAAATATAGATATAGACAAATGCATATTTGAAAGATAAATAAATATACAGAAATAAGGGGGAAAGTGTTAATGTTATACTATAAATAGCGAGCAAAGCTCAAGAACTATATGTCTATATGAGTACTAGTATTACTGTAAAGTGATGGAAGATGTATGGAACCAGTGACGTCATATCTATGTCCAATGTTTTTTTTTTAATTTTGTATTATTAATAAAACTCTATTAAAAAAAAGATAGGTGGACTTCAATTCCCAGAATTCAGGGAGTTGAAGTCCACCCATCTTGAAGTCGCTGAGATTGAGAAACATTGATAGATATGAAAGTAGTTCTACAATAGCCTTTCCTGCAGAAAGGGGACGCTGGGCCTACAACCCCCAGAATTCCAAGCAATATTGGCCCTGCTGGTGAGAAATTCTGGGAGTTGAAGTCCACCCATCTTGAAGTATAGGAAACATTGATTTGAAGGGTATGTATGAAACTACTTAGTTCTACAATAGTCGTTGCTGTAGAAACGGGACACTGGGCCTACAACTCCCAGAATTCCAAGCAATATTGGCCACGCTGGTGGGGAATTCTGGGAATTGAAGTCCACCCATCTTCAAAGTTACCAAGAATGAGAAACATTGATTTGAAGGGGATATATGAAAATACTCAGCATGACTGGACAACCATTTGTCTGAAATGGTACAGGGCAGGGGTCTTCCAACTTGGCCACTTTCAACTCCCAGAATTCCTCAACCAGCCCTGTCTGGCTGAGGAATTCTGGGAGTTGAAGTCCACAAGTCTTAAAGTTGCAAGTTTGAAGACCCTTGATATGGGGTTTCCTGCCTGAGCAAGGAATTGGACTAAAAGACCACAAAGGTCCTTTCCAATTATTATTGTTGTTGTTATATTTTTACAACAGACTTTACAATTATTTCTACCAAAAAGCTGAAGCTGTAAGCAAAATGCCCAAGAAACCATAACTTTAAAAAAAACAACAACAACAGCTGATTGTGTTTGGACAGACAAAACACAAAAGCGGTCCAAATTTGCTCCACAGCTTTGCTTCTTCAAACCAAGCTGAGAAGTGGAAGCAGAGACACACAACCTGATGGTGATATTTTATTAGAAGAAGCAGGAACGCCCCCCCACACACACACAATCTTGTAACTCCTGCTAGTAAAGAGATAGCAAAGAATTCCCCCAAGCCAGATTCTCTCTCCAACAGAATTTCATAATAAATGCAACAAAATTGGTCTTCTTACCTTATCCAGTTTCTAACCTGAGATGGGCTCCCTGCGATATGAGGAGTTCTGCAAAAAAATAGATTACAGACGTTGTTAGCCAGAAGCAAAGAATTAAGATGGCAGCATGATGTTCATACATTCCAGTTGATGTCCCTCTGTGTGGATTTGTGTGCATATGTAAATTTCCGCCTCTCAGTTGTAGACACAGGAGTCAAACAAGGCATTCTGTTTTACAATTCAACACAAAGAACCTATTTCAACAATACGCTTAAGCGGATGAATAAGAGTGAATTAATCTTCTGTAGAAATACTGAGAAAAGAGGATATTGATTCTATCAGCTAATCTCAAAGGACTCTGATTTAGGGTTAAATCAATTCCGTCCAAGTCAGCCTTGACTGTACAACACTAAAGCCCGCCCGCCACTTTGTACAGGAGTCCTCGACTTAACGACAATTGACCCCAAAATTTCTGTGGCTAAATGAGTCGTGTCCGATTTAAGGGCTTTTTTTGGGGGGCCAAAGTTGTTAAACAAATCACTTGCTAAAGGGCACTGCACACCAAAAACAACCAGACACAAAGATAGTTTCCCACACACACATATATGCCATCATTACTCTGCTAAACAATTAATTTCCACAATACTGTCTATGCCAGGGGTCTTCTAACTTTTATGACTTGTGGACTTTAATTCCCAGAATTCCTCAGCCAGCCAAATCTTTTTAAAGTGGCCAAGTTTGAAGACCCCCAGTCTATGCCCTGGGATGTCAAACCACCCAGTAGCGCTGTATTACTTATTTATCCTTCTCATCTTTTTGTCTTTCCAATTACCTATTTCCTTTGACTATAACTTTTGTCATTTGTATCACATGATTTATGTTGATTGCCTTTATTTGGTGTCTTCTTATGATTTATGTTGTCTGCTCACTTAGCATCCTGTGACTCTCACCCAGTGCTGTATGTTACGATTTATGATGATTGTATTTGATGAGCACGATTCATCCCTTGTTGCTTGTAGGTACACCGAGAGCTTATGTCTCTGGAGATTCTCGGTCAATCCAGGTCTTGGTTGTCCCAAAGGTGCTTTTTCAAGAGGCAACTGGACTTTCATGTTTTTTTCTCTGAAGACGTTTCGCTTCTCATCGAAGGAGCTTCTTCAGCTCTGACCGGATGGTGGGGAATGGAAGGACTGATACTCCTTGCAGACCGCTGGTCATTTGCATTCTTTTAGAGAGTTGTTGAGGCCATTTGGAGGTTTACCTGTGTCCTCAGGGTCACCTGAGTGGTGCAAATGTGTGTGGAGCCTTCTTGGCTGTCCTGTTGATGACGGGCTGTTGGTGACCCTAAAGATACTGAAAACCTCCAAGTGGCCTCAACAACTCTCTAAAAGAATGCAAATGACCAGCAGTCAGCAAGTAATAAAAATTCTTCCATTCCCCACCATCCAATCAGAGCTGATCACATGACCATGGGGATGCTGCCATGGTCATGTGAAAAACAGTCATAAGTCACTTCTTCCAGTGCCGTTGTAACTTCAAACTGTCACTAAACGAACTCTTGTGAGTCGAAGACTAGTTGTATAGATCAAAGTGTGTCTTTTAGGCCCACAATCAAGGAATCAATAACCTAGGCCAGTGGTGGTGAACCTATGGCACGGGTGCCAGAGGCGGCACTCAGAGCCCTCTCTGTGGGCATGTGCTCCGTCACTCCAGTCCTAGGCCTTCAGCTGGGTTTTATAAAATGTGTGCAAAAAAAAAAAAAAGGTTCAATCAATCAGTCAATTTCAACTTCTTGGGGGGGGGGAAGATCTTGCAAAGTTGGCATTGATTGATTGAACTTTTTAGTCCCACCCAGTCTGCCATTACCACTGCAGCCACGCCCGCCCAATTGGCCACACCCAGCCAATGGGCCACACCCAGCCAATGGCCACACCCACCTGGCACCCGACAATGCATAAGTGGGTTTTGGGATGCAGTTTGGGCACTCGGTCTCTAAAAGGTTCGCCATCACTGACCTAGGCGTAAAATAAACTGCTTAATCTGCAATTGGGCCACGTTTCCTACCTTCTGAAACAGATTTAGCACAACAACTGTGCTTAGCTTTGCAAAACATCCAGGGGTCCCCCAACCAGCATTTTTTTGCTAAGTAAGCCTATTAAAAGAGTATGTAGATTTAGCTAATGGCCTGCGAGGAAAACATTCAAATTAGCCAGCGGTCTTTGTCTGGCCCCTGGCATTCCTCAAATTGTGTTTCCTCAAACGTAAACAAGGAAACCAAAACCGTTCAATCTTTTTTTTTCTCTCCCCCCCCCCAAAAAAAATACAGCTGGTTTTTTTAAAAAGAGAAAACAAACACTCGCAAAACACAATTTGCAACGGGCAGAATGTTAAAAATGCATGGCTAAGTTGAGAAAAGGGTTGGTCTTTTGCAAAGCGTGGACGGCCGGCCATTGGAGGCGAGATCAAAGGATTTTTGCTTCCCTCTTAGCAAAGTGAAAAAAAGGGGGGGGAGACAGAGAAAGAGACAGTTCAACTCAAAATGAAAAAAAAAAAAAGAGGAAGGGTTTCATATTTGGAATTCCTTCCATTTTTGCAAGGAAGCCTCGGGAGGCTTTGGGGCCTGGGATGCTGTGTTGATAGTCAAGAAGAGCATTAATTCTCCGAAGGATTAAACCATCTTGGGAAAGGAGGGGTAGGTGAGTGGGTGGGTGGGTGAGTGGGAGAAGCCAGGATAGCCGTGTTGCAAATGCCACGTCGTGCACATCTTCTTCTATAATTCATGAGGCATGAAATTGCTTCAATATATTATTTGGCTCTGGACCAAATAAACCCTCATTTACCAGCTAGAGGGCAAAACAAATCTATGCACTCCAAACAGACCCGGCTAATGTCTTCTCTTCATGGATATCAAGACTCTAAAGGCTTGTTTACTTCCTTGTCCACCGTAGCCAATGTCCACGGGGCATTTGAGCCAGTTTTGGACACAGTTGCAAAGGGTGCCGGTTGCAATGATGCTTGTTTTTAAGGGTTGAAGCAATACCCTCTCTGTTGGATGCTCAAAGGAGAAGGCTGCCCTACGAGAATATTTGATAGCTGAGATTTTTTGGGTGGTTCAGTTGTCCTCTGGTTGCAATGCACCAAACCCTACTTTCATGTTTGATTTAAAAAGGTGATATGGTCATCCCAGTCATTCACTCACGCTGGCTGAGGAATTCTGGGAGTTGAAGTCCACAAGTTATACAAGGGCCAAGTTTGAAGACCCCTAAGATAGATAGATAGATAGATAGATAGATAGATAGATAGATAGATAGATAGATAGATAGATAGATAGATAGATAGATAGACAGACAGACAGACAGATAGTCCAACCCCCTGCTCAAGCAGGAAACCCTATACCAGGGGTCTTCCAACTTGGTCCTTTTATGACTTGTGGACTTCAACTCCCAGAATTCCTCAGCCAGTGTGCCTTTTATGATTTGTGGACTTCAACTCCCAGAATTCCTCAGCTAGTGTGCCTGGGAGGAAGTCCACAAGTCATACAAGGGACAAGTTTGAAGACCGCTCAATTTGCAGAGGTTGTGATTTCCCCCTTCGCTGATAATCTTTACTCTCTGTGTAACCCAGGCAGGCGCACCTGAGCATTGCTGAGCACTTCTAAAATATGCCTTTGTTCACCAACGTCTTCTTGAATTATTCCCGGGAGGTGCACATTCAAAAACGCGAGGCCAAAACAGAACGAACTGAACTTGGAAGGCAGTGGAAAAACCACAAAGGATGTGACTCAAGTCCTGGAATAAAACTTGAGGGTGGAATTCTTGTGGAATTCTAGATTCACACCCTGAACCCGGCCGCGGATTCAACTCAAGAGCTTCCTAAATACAGCTAGTCCTCGACTTACAACAGTTCATTTAATGACCGATCGGCCCTGAAAAACGTTGACTTAGGATCGTTTTTCACACTTACGACCACTGCAGCGTCCTGGATGTTTGGCCACTGACTCGTATTTATGACGGTCGCAGTGTCCGGGTGTGTGTGTCATGTGATCCCCTTTTTGTGACCTTCTCACGAGCCATGTCAATGAGGAAGCCAGAGTCATGTTAACAACCGTGTTGCTAACTTAACAGCTGTGACAAGAAAGGTCGTGAAATGGGGCAAAATTCACTTAACGTCCACCTCACTTTGCAACCGTTATGGTCGCTGCCTGCAAACTTCAACAAACTGAGTTCACACAAGATGCTCAGCAAGATTTGAATAGAATAGAGCTGGAAGGGACCTTGGAGGTCTTCTAGTCCAGCCCCCTGCTCAAGCAGGAGGACCTATACCGTCTCAGACAGGTGAATGTCTAGTCTCTTCTTAAAAACCTCCAGTGATGGAGCACCCACAATTTCTGGTGGCAAACTGTTCCACTGGTTAATTGTCCTCACTGTCAGGAAGTTTCTCCTTAAATCCAGGTTGCTTCTCTCTTTGGTCAGTTTCCAACCATTGTTTCTCGTTCTGCTCTCTGGGTGCTCTGGAGAACGTGACCCCCTCTTCCTTGTGGCAGCCCCTCAAATACTCTGCTATCATGTCTCCCCTATTTCTTCTTTTCTTTAGACTAGCCAAACCCAAGTCCCGCAACTATTCTTCGTTTGTTTTAGCCTCCAGGACTTAGTGCAACGCACAAACCGCATCCAAATCAGAACCGGGTAGAAAATTAGGATGTTCCAATCCCTGGGAAGACAATCAATTCTACTTATGCTGCTTTCCGGCACAGGAAAGACATCCAGCCCTGCTTTTATGGCGCTTCTAACTCTGAATGCAGAGCCATTTTTCCTCCTTCCGTTCTTCAGACACAGAACATCTTCTGGGCATCGCACATTTTTGGAGGAGGACTGTACACGCACCGTCCTTTTTTTCCTCCCCGACTTCAAGCACAGCTCCCACCGTCTCTAGTGACAGGAGAAATTGCCAATGAACTATTGATTGGGGAACGGGAGCCAACGAGGACGTTGCCAAGTTGGATCCTCTCCTCGCGTTTCCTGGCTCCCGACGGTGTGCACTGCAGTTGTACAGGCATAGCTGCATAACTG